GCCGGCGGCCTCCGCGGGTCTCCCTTCTTCCTCCTCCTCCTCCTCCGGCAGCGCCTCTGCCCCGCCGCCTCCGCCGCCGCCGCCTCCTCCTCTCCGTCCCCGCCGTAAATGGGAGGTCTTCCCCGGGCGCAACCGCTTCTACTGCGGCGGCCGCCTCATGCTGGCCCGGCACAGCGGCGTCTTCCTCCTCACGCTCGGCCTCATCGTGGTGACCAGCGGCCTCTTCTTTGCCTTCGAGTGAGTCAGGGAGGGAGGGAGGAAGGGAAGGCGGGCAGTCCGTCTATGAGCCCCCCTCAGGCGGGGGTCGTGGTCGTCGTGAGGGGCCCCCACTCACCTCTTCTTTGTCCTCGGTGGTTTTTAGAGGATGCCTTTGAAGGCCCCCCTTCTCAAGCGGGCAATCATCCTTCTGGAGGAAATCCAGACTTTTGACTCCGGCTTGGATCGAGACCCGCTGGAAATAAAATAAATAAAGGCTTCGTTTAGCAGCTGCACATTGTTCAGTAGGGGATGCCATGGTTGACAGCCTGAAATGGGTGCCTGTTAAACCTTGAGTAAATGTCTGAGGGGATAAATAGCCTTTTTAGCCTTGCATGGGTATGAAATAAAAAAAGCATGGTGGCAATCTTGTCCCCTCTATGGCCAACTCAAGAAGGAAACCCGGGGAAGGGAAGCAAACAGGATCTGTTTCCTGGTTTTATAGATAGGATGCAGAGAAGTTAAGTGGTGTGTTCAGAAAGGGCTTCCTCTTAGGTAACGTGCAGGACGATTTTAGCTTTATTGTGGCCTAAGCTTTGTTGCTATGCTAAAACCTACCTCGTCAAACTAGGGTCTCTAGTCGATGGAGGGATTCTGCTTCCATAAACTGTGTTTCCGGTAATTACAAGCATTACAGGAAAAAGCAAAATAAAAATGAATGAACAGAAGAAAAATGTTGTGGCTGCTTAAAGTCTAACTGTTATATTTTAATGTCAGCTTTCGTGGATAAAATCCACTTCCTGGAAAGGCCACATTAAATCCACAAAAGCTCCTATTAAAATGTAACAAGTTTGTCTTTAAGGTGCGGCAATAGTTTTTGCTTGTTTTTTTTAATGATTCTTTTATTTTGTTTTTGGCTGTCATGCTTGCGCAGACTAACATGGCTACCTCTTCTAATACTACAGGTATTACTAGGCTCCTGAAGAGATGCATTTAAACATTCACCAAAGGGCAGAGTGTCAAAGCCTCAATTGTTCTGCAAGATGGTATGGCAAAGTAGTCCTTATACTGTACTCTCCTGTACAAGGAGGGAGGGAGGGAGGTGTCAGCCTAAAGGAGGAAGGAGAGAAGGCCATGGTTTAGGGGCCACCACTTGAAATGTTAGACCCACTCCCCTTTTGCAGTGTTTTACCTCATAGTTTATGGAAGGAGTGAGCAAAATGCAGTCTATGGCCTGTTGAACCCTATGGCAGTTCTCCCTTAGCAAAGAACTGTACGTACTTCACTTCAACAAGTCGGGATGTTCTTTTACGTGAACTAGCTAGTATCCCAAATAGTTAAGATACCCTTTTGCTGTCTGGCCCCCTCTGCCTTAGTGCAGAATCTCATGGCATAACCTATCACCCTATTCAAGAGGCTTCCTCCAGATCTCAGGAACAGCTCTTCAGGAAGGGATGAGTAGGTGGAATTTGCAAAAAATAGGTGCTGTCCAGCTGTGCAAGTGGCAAGCTCTTTATCCTGTCGCAAATCCATCGTCAGTTATGATCTGCATTTTAATGCCATCTTTCCTAAAGAGACCTCAGAATCTCAGAAGCAGATTATCACAGTTTAAGAAAAAACAACAGAGGAAATAAAGAAAATCACAAAGCTCCTAAGTCAGAATATGACAACAACCCAAGAACAGCAGAATTCTGAGACAGGTCCCGTGGAATGTGTTGGGTGGTTACAGCTAAGAGGTTTATTAATTCATTATTAACATGACTGGAACAGAAACTGAATAAGATTTTGTGTTGTATTTAGTTTGTAGAATAAATTTATTTGCAGCTGGGCAGAATAATAGACCTTATGACATGATGAAGATGAAGTATCGTATATTTTAGAACGTAATAACCAATAATTAAGGGAAAATCCTAGGAAAGTTTAATCCTAGCTACAGTATTAAAGATTAAGAGGTATAAGTGTTTTACTTATTTTAACCTTAGAACACAAAGAAAACAGAGGAGTGTAAATAAATAATGGAATAGAATATCCAAGTGGCTGTGGATAGAGTTCAAAAGTACGTCTTGCATGGTTTAAATGAATAGCCAGTATCAAGATGAATATCCTTCCACCACACCCTCCTCTTGTGTTTGTTTGTTTTTTCATTATAAATGTGCCCATGCCAAATACTACTTTAGAATTTGACCGAAAAGTGTATGATTTGTGTATGATTAATACATTTGTTAATATTTATAGAAAAAAAGAAAACGTGTGTTAATTTTACAGTAGCAAGAAAGGAGAGAAAAGAAGTTCAGCAGTTTTAGAGAAGACCATGTACTTATCAACTCATTTCTTAAAACTTAATAAAATAGCAAAGAAACTCAGGCATGGACATTTAGACAAACATTTCCGTAAGCCACTAGTAGATGCCTGCTGTAGCTATATCTAAAAACAAGACAATATTATCGGGGAGGGGATACAGTTCTTTCACTATTTCTCTCTCTCTGTCTGTCTCTCTCTCTGTGTATGTGTGTGTGTGTGAGAGAGAGGGAGGGAGGGAGGGAGGAAGGAAATATTCCCCCCCATCACCAAGCTTGCTTTTTAAAAAACCTCTTTTTCAATAAGGACTGACAGACTCGATCTTTTCAAAGCTGGATTAAACCATTGGTTTAGTCATTATCAAGTGATTGGGTGCATGATGGATATTTTAAGAGATGCACAGGATTCATAAGCCATTTATGCGGAATGCTGCATAATGAAAGGGGCTACATGTCCTCAGTTTATGAGCAGATTTCATGGGTACAGCAGTGGCAACTGGAACATCACAGAACTGGGTAGAGGTTTTAACACTATGTGTTTCCCACCCTACAAAAATATCAACTAATTGCTTTGTATGAAGTTATGATCCTTCCTGAGGACAGTTTACATCTGGCTTTTTTTTAAGTGAATGAATGATGAGGCATGTATATAACTTTGGCATTTTTAGTTTGTAACCTATGTTGTCATGCATACAAAAAAAAACCCAAGGAGCAATAGAAGGGGGGAAGTACATCCTTTATTCTCCACTTCTTCCTCTGTGTGCTCAGAAAGTAAACTGAGTTATGTTTTCACCATTAATTACCGTAAGATAACAATTAAGCTGAAAAATAGCATTCTGCCAAGGTGTCAGGGACTTGAAATTGCAATGCTTTAAGGAGGTAACTTGGGGAAAATGTTTATACATTCAAAAAACCTGACTTTAAGATACTGTTTGTGCCTAGTAGTTACCTCCAAACCAGCCTTCCCTAAATCTGTGTTCCTTAGATATTTTAGGCTTCAACTTCTAACATGGGGATACTGCAGAGCACAAGATGGTTGGGAGAGCAGTAAGCAGAGATTTGTGTTGTACTGTATACTGGATAATTATCAAGATGTTATTGGAAGTCATTCTGGATGTTTGAGATGAGGAACAGATACGGTGTTTGGTGACAAAAGGCCACCATGTACATCCTGGGAGGCACTTTCTTCTCCAGTTTCAGAATCTAATAGCCCTGAGTCACATGCTAAGTTCAAGTTCTGGATTCTGACATGTGCTATTAAAATTAATACTGTAGCAATGACATATTTTTAGGTAGGCCAAGTTCTGTATTAAAACATGATTTAAAATCTTTTTTTTAATAGCAAGTCTATTCTGTTGACAGGAAGACACGCTGTGTTTTCTTGAGTGGAGAGGACTGCTGGATACTCTCAGAATGGGTAGCGTGATTGTCTGAAGGTGGGAGTGCAAAGAGCCACTTTGGAAATAAGATATTAATGTGAGTGCTGTCTTAGCACTGAATCCTGAATCCTCTTACTTCATATGCTTATGTTCTAAGCCATTTTGGACTTCTGTATTGGGAGAGATAAGATGCTCAGAGGGAGACGTGTGAAGGAAAGTGGAAGTGAGTTAACTGTCACATAGCAGTGGTTCCCAGTGTAAAGCAGCCACCTGGAGTCTGAAACCCCATCTTTCCTCGTTGTGATAATTTAGGATGTTCCAGGCTGTATCTGTTGTGTGCAGATTTATTCCTGTGCTATTAACTTTGAGTGATTACAGTGTACAGCCACTTCTGACTTGTCAGCATCCATGCAGAGGCATTTTCCAACACCCTCTTTATATGGCTGCTCTATCGTGAGAAGGAGCTTTTTCCCCCCCTCTAATATTAATTTAAGCTCATAACAGAGTTTTAACCCTAGATGCTTTTAGCTAAGGATGGAGAACACCTTGTACATGCCAGCATCACTTTCTGGTGACTTTTTTTTAAAGGGAAAGGTGTTTATATCTCCTGTTAAAACTTCCAGTTAAGGGTCACATCTTTCACTGTAGACACACACACTGATGGCTGGGCAGCAGCTTCCTGCTGAGATTAGTGCCTCTGTGGGAGAAAAAGAGTGATGGAGGATTCAAGGACGAATGTGAAAAGCTTATTGCATGTCCCTCTGCCCTTGCACTAAAGAAAAAAAAATCAGAGGACAGCTGTAGCATTGGTGATCATCTGGTGTGATTTCACAACTGAACTTGAGAGATGCATCAGATTCTTTTAATCCTCTCATGAGTGGGTATTGGGAAGTATTTGGGTAGCTTCCATACAGTATATCTGTTGGAGTCGGTGTGATTATCACTGCTTATAATAGTAAAATCCTTTTGCCAAGTGGGAAGGGTGGAAAAGGGACAGTTTTTCTTATGTAAACAGCTGCTTACACCATAGTGGTGGACTGGTCTGTCTAAAGCCTCTGCTTGCGTGTCCAGCATGGCCTTTCTTTGGACATTATTCAATCTTGCATTTTTAGCAGCCAGGCTGAATAGTTCAGCGCTTGTAGTTTTTGACAGGAGATGCCTGGAGCTTCAGACTAAGAAAGTGGTGCTGTAAATGCTGTTTCCACTACTGGAACTCAGTGGGGTAGCTTTGTGTCAGTTGTTTAATCTGACCTGCACTGTAGGTGTGTATAGTCCATGGCAGAATGTGTATGTTTCACTGTGTACAGTAATTATCTGTGCCACACCAACACTGATATGAAAAGTACATGCTGTTAATTTTCTTCTGCTTGCTACACAAATTGACACTTGTTGAACATCTAGCTATAATAATCTGCCTGTAATTTACATGCAGTTGTTCATAATTCTAGAGTACTGAAATGCCTTTTGCAGCTCTTTGTGATTCTGATGATGCTCCTTATGCTGATATGACTTGGCTGCAATTCTATAATTCCTCCCCTCCAGTAGTTGAGAGGTAGCTCAAAAGTTGATGCATATCTTTTTAGAAGAGCCTTGGAACAGAGAGGGACCTTGTTTTGTAAGGCAGAGTGACCATGCAAGGTGCCCAGATTGGAGGGGCCTATAAGAGCACATTACCATTCTGTATAGTTTACACGTCAATGTTTCTTGCCCATTGTTCACGAAAATGCCCATGTCCACTGCCTAGACTGCAAGGACAAATGGCAAGATCCTGTCTTCAAGAGTTTTGTGTGGTCTTGTGCTCGCTTTTGTGCTGTTGGCTATCTGTAATGAAGTGTAAATACTATTAAATAGGAACTTGCTTCTTTTCCAAACCCTATAATGGGAAAAGTTGTTTCCTCAGAACTAAGATAATCCTCTTGTAATAAGTTCATGTTAGTGATTGGAATAGCCCTTGGGGTCTTTATACGGACACGCCGAAGTATAGGTACCTGGGAGAAAATTCTTTTCAAGTAGGTAGATGCTGTAAAGCAAGCATGCTTTATTATAGACTAACGTAAGCATTTAATAAACATTTCACAAGCAAACAGGCTCTGCATTGGATTTCGCCTTGTATTTAGAGGTGCAGCATTTTGATTGGCCTCTGCAGCGGTGCCTTGATGTGCAGATATGATGAAGTGGGGTGTTTCTCTCTGCTGGGCACCAAGCAAGGTGCTGTTAAAGTTACAGGACCAGGCCAGGCATTTGTTCATAGTCCATCGACAATTTTACCACTGCCAGTGGTACTGTACTGACTTCTTCGGTTCTCCGATCACTCACTAAACTTTCCGCAGCCTTGTTGTCTTTCTGCCAAAGAATCCCAACCCTTTTGAATTTGTTCTTTCCTGAAAAGAACAGGACAGAAATAGTATTAACTTCTCTGATGACACACAGCTCACTCCTACTTCTTGACTCAAATCAAGCACCCACCCCATTTTCCTTTTAAAAAGAATACAATGGTTACCCTTGACAACTCAAGATCTCACATGTTCTGCTTCTCCAGTGCTAATTTCCATCTCTCCATGATGTCAATGGGATATATGTAGTTTCTGTTCCCTAATAAAGATTTAAATATTGTGGATAAAAGTGTTCAGATTGGAATGTAGATTCCTTGTAGCAGGCCAACACTTTCAGTGATCTGCTCAGCCAATTTGGTTATCAAACCATAGTTCTGACTAGATTAGGAGAGATAAAGGGTAGGGATTACTGAAGACACAATTTCCACTTTGAGTCACAAAGAAAAGGAGAAACCCTTGTGTTTCAACAATCAAGAACTAATACTATAAGAGGTTTAAGATTTTTGTAACCAATGTACAGAGTAAAGAGATATAGAGCAGTCTTGGCATTGGCATGTGTCACCACAGTGGTGCTGGGTAGCTGTATTTAAGGATGATTGTTTTCCTTTAGTAAACAAAATAATAGTTATGTATCTCACAAGTGAGAGTCAGTATGGTGTAGTGGGTAGGGTGACAGACTAGTACTCAGGAGATCTAGGCTCAAATCCCCACCCACCCCCAAACTCACCTCCTGTGAGTTTCCGCCCCATGCCTAAGGAAACTCACAGAGGGGGGGTTGCACTGATAAAATCACTCCTAATATATCTCATTTACCTTGAAAACCTTATCAGAGATGCTGCTATAAGTCAGATATGACATGATGACATATACCAACATCTCACAAGAGGAATCAATGGAAATTGGATATATTCAGTTCTTTGTTGATGAAGAATGAGTTTTGTTCATTATTAATAAAAATATAATGTTGATACTTTTATGTATAGGAAAAAATAATTGCTAGGTCACTGACTTGTAACTAAAGTGTCTTTATGAACCGAACTGGTGTATTACACTTCTTTTGTTTGATGAAAATAGAACATTGTGGAAGGAGATGCTCTAAGAATAATTTTCTTTCTTAAGAAAAAAATAGATTATGACGTTTCAGAATAGATGGGAAGGATATGCCTGAGGGATAGTCTGTGAATCCTAAGTTGTGCTGCAGATGATCATGTCCCTGTAGCCTAGCTGCTGTTACTTTTCCCTAAAAGAGCAACAGATCTTGGTAAAGTGGGATCTTGAATTTTGCCTAAGAGTAAGGGAAAATTATGCTACTTTAGTTGATGTCCTGGGCTAACATGGACAATATGAGAAACTAGACACTTAAGTCAAAGTGAAATGGAGATATCTTACCTTAAAACTGTCTTTTTTCCCACCCAGCTGTCCCTTCCTGGCTCGTAACCTCACCTTGGCCATTCCTATCATTGCTGGCATCCTGTTCTTTTTTGTCATCAGCTCTTTGCTACAGACCAGCTTCAGAGACCCTGGTATCTTGCCTAGAGCCACGGCCAGTGAAGCTGCAGATTTGGAGAAATGGATTGGTGAGCTTAATTTTTTGCTTTTTGGTTTACAACAGAATGTTTACAGATGCTGCACATTAGCTGGTGGTATCCAGCAAGTTTATTTGGGCATCTTAATTTTCTGAGTCTGAGACAATCATGGAAGTGGAGAGAGTGCGGGAGGTTTGTCAGACTTTAACCAAAGTGTCTCTGCTAGATCCTGACAAAAAAAGGAGCCCAATAATGGTGGGAGCTTCTTGAAAAGGAAATTCTAAAGGCATAATGCTTGTTCAAAATAACCTCTCTGTTTACTTTGCTGAGTAAGAACTATGTCCAGGTAACAATGTACAGGAGCTGAATGAAGGTTTATTTATGTATTAGATTTATATTCTGCCTTTTCTGTAAGAATTTTGAGGAGACTTTACTGTATATGCTCCTCTTTCCTGTTTTTGTTCTTACATCATGCCCGGAAGATAATATAGACTGAGAGGTTACCTAGTGAGTTTGTTGGGCAAATGAGAATTGAAGCACAGATCTCACCAGCCATTTTCCAGCACTCTAGCCCATTACAGCAAAGTGGTTGTTGGCATCCGCCATAGTTTTTATGCCAAATGTATCTGATAGTGGTTTAGGTGAGAAGGTGGAATAATTTTTCATAGGACAGGGGTTTTATGGACACTTGGAAGGCAGCCACACTGGAAAGTCACTGGGATGTTTTGGTTTCTAATCTCCATCATGTGTACTCTGAACATTATGCTGCATAAGTGCATCTAATGCTTCCTGTTAAATATTAAGAGGACAAGAAAAGTAAATGAGTGGGACATGGAACCTGACTTCCTAGAAAACCACATGCCCTGATTTCTGCTTTTAAAACAGTATTTTCCCCACGGCTAAATACTACAATGCCAAGAGCCCTGTTTTCCTGAATTCTCTAATTCTGCACAAACATCTTTAGGCATTTGCAGACAATGTGAATACCTTCCTAATAGATGTAAAAGTTGCCACCACTTATTCCATGCACTTAAATCGAAGTGAATGCAGTTAGTTCTTTGCATACATGAGATTGGCTTACAAATTTAAAAAACAATATGGAGATAAATGTATGAAGAGAAACAGACGAAAAAAAGGTAAGCAACAAAATGCAAGGAACAAAACTCAACTGTTGCAGCACATTTTGGAGTTGGAATCTTAAATCATATTTTAGGAATGAGCTGCATGTTACTCTTGTACTGCATGCCAACTCTTAAGTCTATGTAATGTTAGTTTTAGTGCATCATGGGTGAAATGGGGAAGCTCCTTGAGCCAGATTAGGCCAAGGAACACTTTCCTGCTGTAATGGTCAAAGCCTGTGTATTTGAGAGAATGCATCTGCTGATATATATCTCTTTGCTTCCTTAGATGTTTACCGTAAGGGAGTCAAGTTGATAACATTATTTTTAAATGTACTGTTGTTTATAGCAAGTAACCTAGAGCTGCTTCTGGCCTTGACTTTAATGTTTTGTGTTTGATGCATTAATTGGATTTTCTGTATATCCATTTAACCTGTAAGCCACTTTGAGTGCTGTATAAAAATATAGCTAGAAGCACTTAAATAAAATGATCTCTTTTACCATGATAAGAATTATTGTGGAATAGAAAAAGATGGCTGGAGGGTCTGTTCTGTTACCTTTGTTAGCCCTAGGCTCCTAGCTTGATGCTAGCTCGAAGCGCTTGGATACAGTAAAGTTAACGTTTAAGGCGGATGACAAGTTTTATGTTGATGATAGATTGATTTATAGTTTCAGCTAATAGCATTTCTTTAAAGATACCATTTAAACTAGGAATGAGAGTTTAAATGCTTTCCTTTAGAGAGCTGCTCATTATACTGCCCTTTGCGCTGCTGTTCTTGTCTTTTTATACATATGCTTTTGAAATGGTAATGTTTGTTAGAAGGCTATCTGCTTTTGAAATGGTAATGTTTGTTAGAAGAAATCCTTTGGATTTCTTTATGATTAAGATGCTACTGGAATGTGTCAAGATACCCTCAATGTACACTTTCTCCAGTGGTCACACTTTTTGATCAGCTTTGGTAACAGGTAAAAAACTTGTTATCACCACCTGCCACCCCATTCCAGCTTGCCTCATAATCAAAGTAGCTGTCCCTCTCTCCTTTTTCCTCAGCCACTGCTGTGTAGGGCAAGCCTTCCTCAAGGCTTGAGGAGCCCCCCTTTTTCCCCCTACATGAAGGACAATTGGAAATTGTGCCAGTTTGACGGGCTGCTTCACAAGCAGCAGGCAGAGAAAGCTTCTTTTCCTGCTTTTGGTTTCACCACTCTGGTGCTGCTTGACCAAGATGCTTCCAAACACCTTAGTGTTTCAGTCATCAAGCAATCCTCATTCTTGGAACTGAGAAGCGAGTAGGGATTGCCATGGACCTCGCATGATGATTCTCACCTCCTTTGTCAATTTCAAAGTTGAGTGCGAAACTAGTGATGCTGTGCTGGCTTGGGGGACCAGGCAATTGCCATGTATTTGTCTATTGACCTTTGCAAGAATCTTAGCAATCATCTGATACTAGTTAGTCAGTCGGGTCTGTAATCTTAGTTACTGACCAAAAAAGTAAAGAAAATGCCAGCATTTCTGAAACTAGTGCAAGTTTACTGCACAGTGGACATAAGTAATAGAGATAGCATGTGGTAAAGAAATGATCTGCAAGTTCACACTGTTTGGTTATCCTTTTAAAGAGGCAAGTATATGAACATCATAAATGTAGTGAAGAACTGTCAAAATTTAGAAACTCCTTTTTGTTTTAGGGACGTATTTAGCATTTTGTCTGAGCTTCTAAAAAATCTGATTCAATAGATTTTTACTTTTAAAGTAAGACAAATCTTCTGAATGCAGAGTGTTTGAATCTCATCCTGTTCGATTTGTCTTGCACTCCAATATGACTAATTGTGTTTAGGCAAGAGGAGTAATGTATTCAATGCATTAGGTGTAATGCAGCATACTTTTATACGTTTAGGAAAATACTATTCATTTATACATTATTTATAATGTATAAAAGCTGTGCAAAAATGGATTCTCTTTTCTGATTCTGTTATGCTATTGTTGAGGTGACATGCATTTATCTCTAAGAGAGGTCAGAGTCTGAGGTGAATGTCTGGGTATGGGTTCTACTTTAGGGTTGTTGATTTACCAAGAAACTTGCCAGATCCTATTTAGTTCCGTGATTCTATCATTAATAATGGATATTTTTGCCTTCACAGACAACTTGGGCACCTCCACTTATAGGCCACCTGCACGCACCATGGAAGTTGTTATAAACAAATACATGGTGAAGTTGAAATATTGCTATACTTGCAAAATGTTCCGCCCTCCTAGGACTTCCCACTGCAGTGTCTGTGACAACTGTGTAGGTAAGTTCAGAGTGAAATATCCTGTACGTAGTCAAGATTTTTAAATTTATTCTATTTATTTTGTTTATATACCTCCTGACTTAGTGGAAACCCACCACCATGGATGGTAAACACAAAGAAAATTAACGATTAATTAAGAAAATTAAGCATCATTGTCCTCCAAAACTATAAAATAATAGAATAATACAGTCAGTGACTAACACAACAAAATCATACGACAACCTCAGAATTAAGCTCCAGAATGAAAATTGTAAATTCTTATCTCAGAAGAAGTAAATTTTTGAAGGTCTCTTTTTAGAGTTCTGCCTTAACATGTTTTAGGTAGTAATTCTTCAGGAGAGATGGTCTGATAGATACAAAGGGCCCAAACCATTTAGGGCTTTGTGTGTCAAGACTAACACCTTGAATTTGGCACAGAAATGAACAGGAAGCCAGTGCAAATGAGTCAAGATCAGGGAGATGTGATCAAATCTATTTGTTCCAGTGGTCAGCCTGGCCACTGCATTCTTGACCTGCTGGAGTTTCCATGTCATTTTCAAGGATAGCCCACATAGAGGGCATTGCAGTAATCGATTTTTGAGACTATCAGTACATGAACTAATGCGATCAGGGATTTCCTGTCCAGGTAGAGGTGCTGCTTGGGAATCCACCAAAGTTAGAAAAAGGCCGATCCAGCCACAACAGATATTTGTTGTTCAAATGAGAATGCGGAATTGGAAATCACCCCCAAATTGCAAACCTGGTCTTTTATGGGGAATGCAACTCCCATCAAAGCCAGGCAACATCTCTCCTAATTGGTTAGGTGAAATCCCAAGAGAAGTGTTTCTCTCTTGTCAGGATTAAGCTTCAACTTGTTCATTCAGTCCATCATCAAAGCCAGAGGGTCTGAACAGCATCTGCTAAAAATGAAGTGTCATCAGCATATTGATGGCTACAAACTTTAAATCTCTGGATAACCTCTCCCAGCAGCTTCACGTAGATGTTAAAAAGCATTGGTGAAATGGTCTGAACAGCATCTGCTAAAAATGAAGTGAAAGATAGAGCTGTGTGTCATCAGCCCCTGTGGGATCCCGTACCGCAGAGCTCAAGGAGTCGGAACAACATCACCAAGCAGGACCATCTGGATATGATCACAGAGAAAGGACCAGAGCCAGCAAAGTGCAAATCTTTCAATTCCTAGTCCTGGTTATCTATCCAGAAGGATACCATGGTCAACAGTAGCAAACACCACTGAGAGATCCAAGAGGTATCAACAAGGTTACATTCCCCTTGTCAGCCCTCTTTAGGAGGTCATCATACAGCATAACTTGTCACAGTCGCATGGCACGGCAAGCGCTTAGTTATCATCACAGGTGTTATCAGTTGAAACTGATCCAGCAGACCATGACAAGAAGGTGCATTGGAACATCTCAACTCGATCCACTGAGCTACCAAAAGAATCAAGCTCTTGTCAGGTGTCTTCAGCTTTTGAACTAAAATGAGCTGCAAACCTGTTGCTGTTAATGATGTCAAGTTGATGCATATTTATCTGCCCAGTATTAATAAGAGTGTGGGCAACTTGATAAAGTTCTGACTGATGACTTGAAGCATCAGGTGGACATTATATGCTCTTTTTGCAGTTTTTATTGTGTTAACAATCTTTTCTGGATGACATATTGACTGCAGCTAATTTCTCATCTGAGGGAGTTTTCCTCCATTTGCTATCTAACCTCCTCCTTATTTGTTTCACTGCTCATAATTCAACCATAAACCAAGGTGATGGTCAAGCTCTACAGTGGAGGGGACATTTGGGTGCAGATTGGCTGAGAAATCCCCCTAAGGCATCTTGAAAACCAATAGAACCCAGTTGCCTTTGGGGGAGGACCATTCTAATAGGTCCAGCCTCCCTGCAGAAGAGGGTCACCAGTGACAGCCCAAACCTCAGCAGTTGATGAGCTGACCATGATACAGCAGAAGACTCAAGGTTATCCAAGGACAAGGATGAGCAAACTGAAACTTTTAATCCAGACAAGACAGAGGTGCTCCTTTGTCAGTTGAAAGGCAGATCAATGAACAGGGAGGCAGCCTGTGCTGGATGAGGTTACACTCTCTCTGAAAACTCAGGTGCACAGCTTGGGGGTACTCCTGGACTCATCTCTGAGTCTGGATGCCCAGGTTTTGCCAGTGGCCGGGAGTACATTTGCACAATTAGAACTAGTGTGCCAGCTGTGGAGATCTGATGGTGACGCATGTTTTAGTTGCATCCTGGCCGGATTACTGTAATGAACTCTACATGGGGCTGCCTGTGGAAAGTGTCAAGAAACTTCAGCAGGTCCAAAAGGCAGCAGCAAGTTTACTCACTGGGGCTGTCTACAGGGATCACATAACCACCACCACCACCACCACCCCACCCCCCGTTACAGCAGCTCCACTGGCTTCTAATCGGCTTCTGGGCAGAATTCAAAGCGCTGGTTCTAACCTATAAAACACTAAATGGATTAGACCCACCTTCTCAGGTGTTTTGTGGGTACATGGGAGAGGTTCTTCTCTGTTGCTGCTCCCAGACTCTGGAACTCTCTCCCACAGGAGGCTAAGCTGTCCTCATCTTTGCTGTCCTCCTGCAAGCAGGCAAATGACCGCTTCTCTTAAGCAAGCTTTCCCTGAGTGATTGGCTGCCTGAATGGGAATTTTAAATAGATAGTTGAACCTTACTGCTTTGAGTGTATTTTGGTGATGCTAATTGTTTTTAGTATGGTATTCATTTCATCCGTTTTAGTACGGTATTTGTTTACTCACCATTGTTAGCTTTAAATATTTGTTATTAATTATGTAAGCTGCTTTAGGTCTTTTTTAAGGAGAATGGTGAGGTGGAAAATATTTTAATTTTTATTATTCATTTATTTAATTTGTACTCCGCCTATCTGGTCAATACAAATCCACATTCAGCTCACCCTCAGCCTGACCAGACAAGAACCACCAGGTACAATGTGTGTCCAACCACATGTGTGAGAGCAGTCAGATGTTGAAACAGGCCCACGGATGTTGTGGTGTCCATGAACTCCCAAGGACACCCCAGTGATATCCAACTCCGCATGAATGTTAAGCTGCCCAGAAGTAATAGCATAGGAGACCTCAGCATTGCAGTCGAGACACTTTGTTAGCTCTGGTAGTGAAAGTGCTGGGTCTCAAGGGGTGGGGTATATCATCCCACTGGTCTGCCAAGACAGAGCTTCTGCTGATCTTGATGGAATTTTTAGGGACAATGGGCAACACCCTTTCCCTGCCCCTCTGATCTGCCCGGATGCTGGATGGAATAACCAGAGGGACGCAACCGGGAAAGCAGAATCCCACTTCTGTGCTACCAGGTCTTGGTTATATACGCCAGGTTGGTTTTACTGTCTACTAATAGGTTGTAAATTAATTCAGTCTTGTTTTCAGCTGACCTAGCATTAATCAGTAGGAGGGTCAGATCAGAGAGTCAATGGAGCTGGTTACCTGGATACTGCCAGCTAGAAGGAAAACCACAGCTCAAAACAGATATAATACATCTAGAGCTCTTCTATAATGACCTGTTTTCTTCCCCACTATCATATCTCCCTCTACTCATTATCACCAAAATATCCTCCACATTTAGGTTGAAGCAATTGTGGTTTCAACTGCTTCTTTCTGGTTCTTCTGAAATACAGATATTTAGATTGTAGAGAGTGTACCATCTCTTCCCATGGGCATGCCTGAGATAACGATCTTAGAATTCAGGTACACATATGTAGCAAAAGGTTACTTATATCCACCTTTTTAAACCATCATCCTCCAGTTGTTCCTGCCACGTGATGTATGGCAGTTGCTTAAAGGGAAGAGGGCCTTGTCAGTGGTGGCACCACTACCTCTCTTCCCAGAGACCAATCATATGCCTCCTTTGAAGTCATTTTGGTGGCAGGAGTCAACCATTTAATTTTCTCAGACTGTCATGTTGTTTCTGACTTTGGTTTTAGCTTTCAGTTCTGACCTTGCTATTGACCATCAAATCTAATCTTAAACCCAGTCAAGCTGATTTATTCTGTCTTTGTGTATTTTATTGCAATTTTTATTGGAAGTAGGGATTTTAATTGCTTTTATATTTTGATTTAATAAGTCAGCCTGAACAATTCCTTAAATTACATAAAATAAAATAAACGACGACATTAGACCATACTAAAAGATAGTTTGCCCATAGCATCATTTGCTTTCTGGGGTATAAATAGACTTGGGGGGAAAAATCACAGTAAAACGTCATAAAGTTAACATGCCAACTTTAGAAATATAGAAGTGATGATGCCAGATATATTTTCTTTGTACCAGCACCAGTCTTGACCTTACATGAACAGAGATATATTTTGGAAACAAATAATGATAGCTACAGAGCTGTATCCTTGATTGCAGTGATTCATGTTCCAACTGCAACTATCATTGAAATTTCTGCCTGGCATAGCTTTCATGTTTTAGCTTTTCCAGGTACACATGTATATGGGAATGTGTGTTCAAGGCAAGTGAGTTCTGTTGTTACAGAGGGATGAGTGGCTGTGTGAACAGGCTCAAAGTGGTCAACCAAACCTTCACTCAAACTGAGAGGACGTCTTCCCTTTGGCTTTTTAGGCTATGAAAACTGTGTGTCTTTTCCTTGTGTCTAACACTCTAAATTTGGCACTATCCATATCCCTGGCAGCAATCAAAAGCTAGTCTTGTGCTAAAGGAGACTTTGATGGTGGTGTTTCTTGAAAGAACATCTCTTTTTCCACATGAAAAGCATTTTTAGAAATTAGCTATACAAAGTGCTCTAAAAGCAGTTGGGCATATTGCATGGAAGTGTTTATTATTCCAGAGTCAAGAAGGGTGTGTGCACCTCAAAATAGTTTTTTGAATCCTCCTGGCCTTTCTGATTTGGAACAGAACATTTGGAAAGAGGTTGGTTGGAAGAAGGAGGAGGAGAGAGCATTAATTGGACAGAGGAACATTAATTGACTGCTTGGTGGGCTGTCACTGTCTTGAATAAACTGAATAGTCTTTGCCACCTGTTACAGCTTTTATATCTCTTGCCCTAGTCTAGTTGCTTTCCAGTCGCACATATATTGATCTCTCAAAACTAAAAATAAAACTTCGAAAGCCCAACTTTTAGTGCTACAAAAACAAAGTTTTGTTGCCGTTAAGGTGTCTTGTGACTCTCCGTTGTATTCGCTGCAATTCATTTTCTTCTTCAGTTTGAAAAACATTTGCATATATTTTGGAAGCAGAATATTGGATTCTTTGATGAGCATTTTAGTAATGCCAGGGGCATCATTTGGAGGAAAGAGGAAAATGTATATACTGTATGTGCAAGAAAGATGGCTGGATCCTTAGGCAGATGAAATCAGCTGAGTGTTTATAACAAGGATGGGAAATACGTGGTCCCCCTCCAAGCTCTGGGCTTCAGTTCTTATCTGTCATAGTTATTCCAACAAGAGAGAATAACACATTTCTCATGCTTGTTCTTATTTACAGATAGGTAAAATGCAGGTGGTGAATGTGTTTGAAAAATAATGAGGAATGGGTGAGTAGCAGAAATGTTAGCTTGAAGTCCCTTCCACCCCCGAGGGAAAGTCTTCCTGAAGTATGTATTCATTTGGAATAAATGTTAGTAGGACATATCCAGACATGAGTAGAACTTGAGACACACCCAAGCCATGGACTCTTACCAAGCTGCATAGAGCTTCGGGCAAGGAGAAAGTCTATAAAAGCCAGTCAGCTCCTTTAAATTGAATATTCCTTGCTTGAATTGTTCAGTTTCTCTGTGTTTTTTCCTCTGTCCTGTTTTTTTTAAAGCTATATGCCTAGTGAGTCGGCCTTCAGGAATCCAGTCTGAATATAGAAAGTCTTTCTGAAGGAATTAAATGTATAGTCACATGCGTTTTAGAGAGCAGATGACAAACACAAATAATTTACAGAGTGAAAACAAACCAACTGCAGTGTAAAACTATAGGATACAGATATTTAAAACCATCAATTTAAAACAAGTTAAAATTTAAAAGACTCCCCATCTCAACTGCCTGCTTACTCCCAAAAAGCCTCTCTAAAGAGACAAGTTTTCAGCTGTCGTCAGAAAGCAAAGGGCCAACGACACCTCCTGAGGAAGGAGGGAGCAGACACAAATATAGTTGTGAAAGTGGTGGAACTGAGAAGGCATTCCGATGAAGATCTTAATACAGTACACATTAAACTGAGTGATGGTCATGTCCTGAAAATGGGTATACTGCAGAATGAGGAACATGCATTTTCATAGGGTGGGTTAATCATATTAAAAAAAACATGGATAATATGTTTGCTGAAAGAGTCAAGTTAAGACTTGGGATAATCATGGGTGGCAACTTGTTTTTTTCCCCCCCATGAGCCTTTCCCAAAATGCTTAGCATCTGTTTGCAATAAAAAAATGAGTTTAATGGCCCTCATCTTCTCACCCAGATTACTTGGCAGTTCTAGTTCTCTCGAGAGACTTGGGATTTCTAAGAATTTCAACATTCACAGAAATTTTTGACTATCCAAGATTTGGAAGTGTGTGGGATTTTGATAATCAGCCTGCTTTTTTTTCTGATTAAGTAAACAATGCCCTTGAACGTTTATGCCTTAACAAATTCACTGGTCTTCTGTATGCTGCAGGACTTTTTGTTTGTTTGTTTGTTTTTGAGGAGGTTTACACAAAATGTTTAATGTTTCCTTTTTTGAAAATCTCAGTGAACCAGAAGATTGTGCTGAGGATGGCCAGTGCAGCTATTGAATTTGTTATTGGCAGGCTGTTTTGGACATGAGGTTGTGGGATCTTGGCCTGCCTCATTTCGTTCTTTTTCAAAGTGGTCCTTTTGCAAGATTAGGTGATGACTGGAATGTCACTGCACGTTTTGATTCTAGTTTGCCCCTCCCCCCCCAGTATGTAGTACTAGTCTCTGTAATTTTACTTCTTATTTCCTACTGACTTGCATTACACTATCATTCAAATATTTCCTTCCTGGTTTTGTTGCGTGGCTGTTTTCCAGAGCTTAATATTTGCAGTCTTTTTACAGGGCACCAAAGATGGAATTTGATACCCAATGAGGTGTTGTGGTTAGAATGGTGGACTAACATTCAGGAGACCTGGTCTTTGAATCCCTGCTTAGCCATGGAAACTCATGGGGGTGCGCAGTTGGTACAACCACTCCTTAAATAACTCACCTACCTTGAAAGTCCTATTAGGTTCGCTATAAGTCGGTTCTGACGATGGCAGATAACACACAAAATAAAGAGGGAGCCGAATGAATTGTAGAGTGGCTGTTTACACTGAATGGTGCAATCCAATCGTGCAGGGGCTTTTTGCATGGCATAGCTGAAAGGACAAATGAACAACTTGGGTGGGGAACACAAGCAGTGTATTCCTTCGTAACTTTCTCTTGCTTTGGGTTGACATCCAAAGGGCCAAAGATTCCCAACCCGCCATTCAACTTTGATTTTCACCTTGCAGTGTGTCTTGGAAAGTGACTCCCAAAAGCCAGTTGTCTAATATTTACTGAACCTCCCAAAAGAGATGAGCTGACACCCAACTTACAGTGTGACGCAGCGAGTAAGAGGGCCAAAGGCATTCATTGGTTTGAGACAAAGGGACTAAAAATGCCAGCAGCCTTTCTTGAGAAAAGAATATTAGTCCTGTACGGTACTTTTATTTTCTGTATATTCCTAGAGAGTTTGACGTTGCTGAGTAGCCTCTTTGGTTTTTTGGGATGCCATCTCCCTTAATGTTGTTGTGTTGCTTTTTTCCCCCTCTCCAGAACGGTTTGATCATCACTGTCCTTGGGTTGGCAACTGTGTGGGGAAGCGGAACTATCGATTCTTCTATGCCTTCATCCTCTCTCTCTCTTTCCTGACAGCCTTCATTTTTGCTTGTGTCATCACCCATCTTGCCCTGCGTAAGTATAGTTCTGGTTGAGCGTATTCCAAAACCAAGATGCTTTTAAAGCCCCATATTTCATAGGTGGGAGAGAGGAGGGTGTCTTTGAGGGCTTCTAAGGTCAGGCCAACAGTAAGAGTTAACTTACAGGGTGAAAACAAATGCTGCCACAAATATGGTATAATATGCTAAACCTGAGCAAATTTGCCCATTATAACTCAAAACATGCCTTGGTGCTCGTTTCTTTCTGAGATCCTGGGCACAAGATCCTGCTCTGTGATTGGCTGGTATGTACTGCCTCTTTGTCTGGCTTAATGTGGAAAGTGTCCTCCTTTCACCCTTTTTCTTTTTGCTTTGCAGGCTCCCAGGGAAATGACTTCCTCACAGTTTTGAAAGCAACACCAGCAAGATATCCTTTCAAGTACCTGCTGTGTCCTCCCCTCTTCCTTTGAGAGTGAACTGAGAAAGGAACTAGTGTAACAGTCTTAATTGCAGACCGAAAAGCTAGTTTAGATGTTAAAATCCAGAACATCCTTGGAGACGCTTTCTGGATGCCCAAAGCAGGGAGTAGCCGAACATCCCCGGTGCTCTCAAACAGAGAACGAGAGGGGCTGTTCCTTATACAGCAGGATGGGCAGCTCCTGGCTGTGCTAGCTAGGGTGGATATGCGTAGTTTGTCCAGCCGCATTAGAAGAGCCACCCTTCTGTTTCTGCAGCTGTGTCATAGAAACTGAAGAAGACCTCTGCTTTTAAGCCATGATACTGATTCATAATCTGTTTTTTGTTTGTTTGGCAACAATGTCCGTAGGATTCTGTGGAAGGCCAGGGTTCCTGTGGGCCTTATGCAGCCTAATGACTTCAGCCGTACCTGGTCGCAAAAAACTTAGTGTCCCAAAGCAGAACTCATCTCCAGCCATCTTGTCTAGCCTTCTTTAGCTGAGATGTGTTTGGTACCAAATGATACCTACAAGTAACTTACCCTTTTTCAGCCTCACTGGGAGGGACTCCACCTCTCTCTTGCATGCGATTCCGCCATACGCTCACGGAGTTCCATCACGACCAGAACCAAAGGATTCTGGGAACGATTGCTGGGCAGAGGAGGAGGAGGAAAGCTGCGTGGAGGAAGGTGGAGTTGCATGCGCTTGAGCAGGGGCATGCCTTAGAGGGAAACTTGCCTGCAAGTGTTATTGAGGCCTTTAAAAACAGTTTTAAAATTTGTTAATAAGGATATCTACAAAACATTTTGAGCACCATTTCAGGAATTGTTTAAGTAATCAGAGTCCCAAGTCTTCATATAAAGAATGCTTATTGTTATAGTAAACTACTGATGATGATGATGCTACTTATACTATCGGATTTAGTTACATGCAGAATCTTCCTGTGGAAAAAATATGCTGAAAGTGATTATTTTCAATTATATGCATTATTCTTTCCTTGATTCACATCCTACTGTGTTAGAATTGGTGATCTGCTTTTTCTCAGTCTGGTCTATCTTTGGCCTCTCAGGGTTTCACACTTACTTAGTTGCCTCCAACTTGACCACCAATGAGGATGTAAGTATAAATGCTTGAATTTTGTTTCAACAACAGAACAGAACAGAACATGAAAGCAACCAATTCTAGAGTTGAAAACAATTTCTTACTGCTTGTCTTCTGTCTCATAGTTGTGGCCGTTCATTTCTGTGTACTATGTAATATTTAGATGACTGGGATAATGTAGCCCAACACACGAGAAGGTCACCAGGTTGAGGAAGGTTGGGCTGGATAAATGAACATGGCATTGCTGCAAATGATATACATTCTCTCCATCTGTCTGTCTGTCTTTCTTACACACATAATAATTGGTTCTAGTTAATTTGCATTTAAAAAGCGGAATTATGGAATTTGAGATATTTTATGACAGAATGGAAGGCAAGTGCAATCCCATTGAGTATAAATGGGCTAATTCCCAAATAAATGGATATTGGGTTGCGCTCTTATATGACTTTTCTTCAGTCTCTTAAATCTGTATGTTAGCTTATAATAAGCAATAGTTCTGAAGCCAAAACAGCCTACTTTGATACTCAGGTTATGTTCATGTGTTGGAAGCCATTCTCTTCTCTGCGGGAGAAAATGTTTCTTCTAAGATGGATTTGCTAGCCACTCTGTTCTACGTCCTGGTGAAGCAGGGCAGCATTTAATTGCTGCGTACATGATACCTTTACAGAGAGACCTTTTCATAAAAGTCATACAATCTGCCAGCTTTCATGGATCAGGACCACTTCATGACGAAAGCTAGCTAGTATTACAATATTTTTTAGTGGTCAATTAAGGTATCAGCTCTTTCTTCCATTTAGATTTTTTAATAAGCACACATCTCCTTTTTATTTCATTTTAATTGTTGAAATGTTTATTACAGTATGTTAACCTGTTAACTTTTATCATTTTTCATTATGACTTAATCTGACTTTACAAGAGCAAAATAGATTACTAGGCTACCAAAGACTTGTTTTTATTTTCCCTGTGTATCCGTTTTTTAAACTGCTTTTCTGTTGCATTACAGGAATGAACACATGGAATAGTACAATTCTGTATAATCTTAAGAGGCAAAAATTAATAGCTAGGAAATGAATCACTTTCAGTCTTCAGAAAACATTCTTGAAATCAGCTAAATCTAGCCCCCCCCCCCCCAAAAAAAAAAGGTGATTTCTTGTCTTCTTTCTCCTGTGGCCTTTTCTAACCAAGTCATTTCTTCTGAATTGTAGCTCAAAGGGGCATGGTCAAATAAGAGGGGCTCTGAATTTGCCAACCCTTACAGCCATAAAAGTGTCCTCACCAACTGCTGTGCAGTGCTCTGTGGACCATTCTATCCCAGGTAAGGGACGCTCTGCTCCTGAATGAACTCCTTATCTGAATGAAATAACAATAATGGCAATTTTAGAATGGCATAACTGGTCAATAACCCTGAATTGTGCGTTCAGAGAGAATGGGTTGGATAGCACCATTCAGAGGCCTTCTCAGGCAAGGTGTGGGTGTGCGTGTTTAGTGGTGTTTCCAGACTTGGATCAACCAGGTGTTCTTAGACTGCCACTCCCAGAAGCCTTCGCCATTAGCTGTGCTGGCCAAGTTTTCTGGGAGTTGCAGTCCAAGAACACCAGGGCTGCCCAAGGTTGGGAACCACTGGTGTAGGTAGTTATGGGAATCAGAAATGACAGGGATTCACTTCCACTTGTAGTGGTTAATATTGACAGGCTGTTCCTTCCCCGCCACCTCCAGTCGTGGCTGTTTCCCATTCCTGCTTTGTGCTGTTGTCTATGCAGGAAGATTAAATGCAAGAAGCAGCCAGTATGTCAGAAAAATGCAGGTGCTCCATCACTCTGAGAGGAGGAGAAATCTGGGCCAGAAATAAGGCTGCAGAAACTGACAACGGGAGAGGAAGGAGAGCTAAGCCAGTGAGAATCGGGAAAGCCACTGTTGATGTACTCAAAGACACAGAGCTAACCTGAGGTGGGAAACCCACTACCCCTTCCGTCAGTAAACACACACAGCACTCATATACATATTCTAAATTTGCTTGTCTTTAATGGCACACTTAGTCTGTGACCTGAGGCAGTGACCTTATTTAGCCTTACACCCAGCCCAGCCCTGAAAAAAAAAGTCAGTCTTTTGTATCAGAATACCGAGCCAGTTATTTGTTTCTTTTAGCTGGAGAGGCTCTCCGAGATCCTTGCATGCCATTAGTTAAAAACAAGATCAGCCCTTGCCTGAAATCTTATCACTGCCAAAAGAAAGAGGAGGAGAGGGGAAGACCAAGCCCTGGCAGCCTCTTTCTAGGTCACAATGATTACCAGGTGGAATGGCAACAGGCCAGGAAGAGGCTGAGGCCAGTGGACCGGGTCTTTTAGGAGAGTTGATGGAATGGCCCTGCTCCAAGCATTATCTAGTTTACAACCTCTTGGTTTTTAAAAGTCTGATGCTGGTACATGTATTTGATATTTGTCAATATGTAGAATTTCCAGTGAGTAGCATCCATATCTGGTCAGTCTATAGAGTTCTCTATGTACAGATGCAGCTTTAAACCACCTTAATGGTTCTTTCACGATCGCTGTCTCCATGTAGTCACAAGGGGGCAGAGTTGTCTTAAGTAAAGGGTGATTCTAATAAGCCTGTGGCATTTGGGAGGGGCCTCTTTAAAGGGATGTATGAATATTTGCAAGAGGCAAAGTTATTAGCAAGTGTTTTATCTACATGGGAAAACCAGTGGAAGGATAATTTGGATGGAATCTCCTATGTCTCTTAGTTTCTGCTCATGGTGTTATCTCAGAGATTCAGTTGAGCCATAATTTCCCTACATACGCAGTCACACAACATCTCTTCCCCAGAAAGCTGAAAATTGACATTTAATTTCAGCATCAAATTGAATTTCTCTTCTGATAATTCAAGTAGATTTTTGATGCTGTATATGTGTTCCCCATGGCAGGATGGAAATGAAAGAGCATAAAGCTGGCTGAAGTATTTCCAAAATATGGTATAGACATTTATTTACTTATTTGAAATATTTTTACTCTGTCTTTCTTCTTAAAAAGGACCCAAGGCAGCTTACCTCATTAAAAGACAATATTTAGAAGCTGAAAACAATGGAAAAGACAATATTTAAAAGCTGAAAACAGTACGTTAGTATACAAATATCAAGAAAGAATCCAACAGACACCACACTAAAAACATGTGTGCACATTTGCCTAACACAAGGCAGTGTATACTTTATTTAGCTGTTATGGAAAACACCTAAGTGTGATCTAAGGCTGTGGCCTTCCATACTTTGTTGGATTCTATCTCTTATTTCGAGGTACCTAACACAAGGCAGTGTATACTTTATTTAACTGTTATGGAAAACACTTAAGTGTGATCTAATGTTATGGATAACACCTAAGTGTGATCTAAGGCTGTGTCCCTCCATACTTTGTTGGATTCTAGCTGTTATTTCGAGGTTGCATGAGTGACAGCGGGAGGAGTTGTGGCTCCCCAGAAGTTGCTAGACTACATGTTAAGGTGTGGGAATTTCTAACTCAATCTTGTTTACTAATCAGCAGTTTCTCTGCATTTCACTTGCAAGTTACTGTTGATTCCTTAACTCATGTCTTTCAAGTCCCTTTGTGAAACTAATGGGGAATAAGCGGCTATCATCTGATAGGAATCTGTGAAAAACCACAGGTTGTACGCATTGTTGTACAAGCTGCACTTTACCTGTGTGTAATTTCCCACTTCAGAACAAATACCATCCCTGGTTTCATATTTGTGATTCCCATGAAGGCTGAAATACTCTTGTCATATGTATACATACAGGGTGAAACAGGAGGATTTTTGCTACGTGTTTACATTACCATGACTGTTCATTTGACTTGTTTTGTACCTATCTAAACCCCTTGCCTGTTTCTTTCCCCCTTTCTCCCCTACCCAGTTTAATTGACAGAAGAGGATTTATCCAAGCAGATGCCGGGACCCCATCCACCCCTAAGAGTGAAATCCCTTCCTTTGGAACAAAATCAGATGCCAGCATGGTATGAGCCAGCCCTTACCAGTGTTGACATATAGTCCCGTGCCTAGGCTTTGCTTCCAGCCGGTTGGTGCCTCAGCTCTCTTTTGTGATTTCCTCATCTCAGGGGGAGAGCCTGGTGGGCAAAGCCTCCAAAGTTTCCAGCCAAACCCTATGCCACTGCCTCTTACATATTTTCCCCCCTTTGGTCTGATTTTTCTAAAGTGGGACTTCACCTGGACGTTGTAAACTTCTGCAGCGAAGCCTCTGTGACATAGGGGAAGAGAGTCAAAATTGCTTAGAGCCAAGAACGTCACAGCTTGGGAGGTGCCAGCTTCTTGGGAACATTCTTGGATGTCCTGTTACACGGATAGTTTGAAACAGTGCAGTAACTTGCACAAAGAGCTGGTATGGGGAAGGGGGTGGGGAGCAATTATACCATCTCCAAAACTTCACTCCAGATTGTTTTTAGACACATTTAAACAATACCCATTGGTGTTAAGTGTGTCCTTCACGTTGCTCCAGGTGAACAGTGTACAGGGATAATTGGTGCTTGCCTAAGCCATAAGGCAGAGGGAACCATTTGAGGACACAGCACGCCTTCCCCTAGCAACGTGTTGCTTGCTGAGCGGGTTTGCCTGGGACAGCTCTCCTAATCTTGGTGGGAGTGAGAGCAATGCATAGGACATACAGTTCCCAGGAAGGAGCATGAGCTGCTCTACAGAATCAACATAAGAAAGTGGTTTCTCATTCTGGGAACAGACTCAGAGGTGTCCTCCTTTGCTTTCAGTTGAATCAGGACAATAGTCACAGGCTGAATATGGCCCAGCGAGGTTCTTTGCTTCATAGAACCAGGCAAACCCACCTGAGATTCTTAAATGATGGAATACCATCTCCTGGTGCACAAGAGTAGCAGAACTATTTTTGTCAGGGTGGGAGATCTACATAAAGGAGACGTATAAAGAACACAGAGGCCAGGTTCAAAGAGGAGTCTTCAAAGGAACTTTTTTGCCCATTTGCATTGTCAAAAACTGAATGACAGTTCACTTGGATCAATGACTGCTCATATAGAGTGGAAGAGACGGTGGTTCTTCCTGTCCAACTGCCCTCTTACAGTGTGCCTCCCATCCTGCTATTTGAGCCCTTGTGTAATAGGAAGGTTAAATTCACATTAAATACTTGAAATGTGTTTATTAAAAGCTGCTGGATATTTTTGCACAAGTTTTGTAGATTTTTCTAAGCATTTTGTAAAATAATGTGCTACGTAAACCTGTTTTCACAGATTCATAAAACCAGGATAATTTTTTTAACAGTATTGGAATATGTATGTCAAATAACTAGATTCACAAAGAGCTGCCAACCATTCCCTGGAGTTAGGAAAAGACAGGAAGTCTATAGGACATGTGAGGAATGGAGTCTCTTTATTCCTTTTAATCTGAAGGAACTAGAGTTAATGAGAAACAGAAGAGGATTTTGAGTCTCAAAGGGACAAATAAAGTACACGAATGTGCCTTTCCCTACCTTGCTATTTAAGAGAATCAGGAAAGGATGAACACTGCATCTATATTTTTAAAATTTGAATCAGGATAGATCCTATCTCAGGAATGTGTCTTAAAAAGGATGTAAACTAGGAATCAGATCTAGAACAAGTCTAGTCTTCCCTTCAACTTCTTCATATGTGCTCTTCAGGGCTGTGTGTGAGACACCCATTAATAATTCTGGGTAGTGCCATCCCTTTCAGCAAAATATTATTGACACCTATCAGTTGCCTCTGACCCGTCAGACTTCCTCAGCTGGCTGCACATAGTATCCTTGGTGGAGAGCTGTGAGGTTGCCACAGAGTCAACACTGTTAAATTGGATTGGTCTAGCTGCCTTCCCCACTGCTTCTGTGTACGTGCTGGGCTGGGGGGGGGGACGGATTGCCATTCTGAATCTTGCACTCTTTATTAGTATTTTGAGTCTCAAAGGGACAAATAAAGTACACGAATGTGCCTTTCCCTACCTTGCTATTTAAGAGAATCAGGAAAGGATGAACACTGCATCTATATTTTTAAAATTTGAATCAGGATAGATCCTATCTCAGGAATGTGTCTTAAAAAGGATGTAAACTAGGAATCAGATCTAGAACAAGTATAGTCTTCCCTTCAGCCTCTTATGTGCTCTTCAGGGCTGTGTGAGAGATACCCATTAATAATTCTGGTTAGTGCCATCCCTTTCAGCAAAATATTATTGACACCTATCAGTTGCCTCTGACCCGTCAGACTTCCTCAGCTGGCTGCACATAGTATCCTTGGTGGAGAGCTGTGAGGTTGCCACAGAGTCAACACTGTTAAATTGGATTGGTCTAGCTGCCTTCCCCACTGCTTCTGTGTACGTGCTGGGCTGGGGGGGGAACGGATTGCCATTCTGAATCTTGCACTCTTTATTAGTAACAGTTAGATGACCTGTGGTTTCCCTATTGCAAGGAAAGCCAAGATAAAAGGGGTTCCACTTCAGAACTCCTTTTGCACTGATGCCACTGCTGTTAAGAGCTCAAAGGCTGAGAGGTACTGTGGCTTTTCTGTGACTGTTGTCTAAATTTGTTGTTGTTGTTGGCCTACTAGGATTTGCCTGACTTTTCAGTGCTGTTGCAGCAGGGCTGGTGGCATGTAGGTAATTCACACCGTCTTTCTAGAATTTGGTTCTGCACTGACAAATGAGCCTAGGTTTGAGACAAGACTGATGCTGGAACATTCTGATCAGATCTGAAAATTCGCACTGCAGCTTCCCGTCATCAGATGTTTGGGCCAGAATGCATGATGTGCAAGATCTAAACATGTAGTGGTCAAAGAATTGTGGTGATGTGGAGATGCAGGTAAGCCCTTCCCCATCCCACCTGGTAGTCCTGCAGACCTTTCCATGTTTACTGTGAGCATGCCCAGTTGAATGCGCTCAAAATGTTTCCGTGATCAGCAGCCCTGAAAAGGAAGATCTGTTGATTGTGGAAATGATGTGTGATCACATTCAGCTGAACTCACCTATAGTATCCATTGAGACTTTTCAGTCTGAACATGCAAAGACCTGCACAACATCCAGCTGGGGTGGGACTGTGGAGGGCAAGGCCCATGTCTGTCCCTCCTTCCCCACCACCATTGGAACCCTACATGATTTCACACTGAATGGGACTAGAATGAATTGCCATACTTTAATGGGTCTAACTTGGCATATTCGTACTACAGAACTGAAGACTTTAGTAAGTGGTCAGTCATAGAGCACCTCTTGAAGAGCATTAATCCCGGAGATTCTGTGTATATCAGCATTCTCTTCTCTTGCTAAATATAGGGCCCTTGTGGCATTTTCCTTATCTTCTGGGGCAGTTACAAAGGCAGCTCCAATTAGTGTGCTGGCTGATTATGAAATGAGTGCTTGCATTCTTTGCCATTTAGACAGGTGAGGTCGAGCCACTTCCTCAGTAATAACAGCCTTGAACAGGTGTTTAGGCTGCTTAAGCTGCAGTGCTTAAGCTGGGATGCAGAACCCCCTGGAGCCATGATGAGATTCTTTCTCTTGGCTATCAGTCTGCACCCCTGTGGACACCTTTCCCAACACAATCCCTATTAACCATCTTAGATGCAATCCTGCTTTTCCAAACAATAGTGCTTCCGCCTGCAGTCCAGTTCTACCTAAGCAGTAGTCCAAACAGTTGATAGACATGCCTGCTAAGAGGACTGCAGCTTTGCTTTTCTGCAGGAGTATCTCATGATTTCCACTGTTTTTCTTGTGCAACTTTTTGGAACATGATGGAAAAGGAGGGGGAAAAGATCCCTGTTCACCAGTTGTAGCCTGTCCTAAATTACTTTTATTTTTAGAGAAGTCAGCTATACATGTTAAAGTTCAAACCACCTTCCCAACACAGCCAGACTCACGAAGCTTAGACGTGAACGGAGGGAGGCCAGGATTGCCAGTGCTGTATTTGTTTGGGGAAATACTTTTGTGATTAAACCTGTTTTCTTTGTTATTTGCTTTTGTAATAAAAACCCATTTTTAAAAACAAACAGGAATTTTCTTTTGATTTTCGGTTCACATTTTCTTATGCTAGATTAAACCCAGTAGTTGGCTCTTTTCTGGATCAGAAAAACGAGCTGGTACAGTGCCCCGGAAGAACAGCTGCCATTTAAAAGTGCCGCCTGGGTGTTGACTCCAGACCTTGGCAGGCTCCTGGGTTCTTAGCTGGTGGCTGGGGATAGATGTAGCGGCCATCTGTGCTCTGTTCATTGCAGTCATTTTGTAGTGTAGAGTTTCAGAACTGCCGTAAGTGAAGATGTTCTCTTCCTGTCCAAAGTGTATTCCATTAGTGGTGGGCAGCACTTATGCTCTTGCTCTCCTATCTCTTCCCAAATTCTCTTTGCCAAACCCCAAGGCTGCCACAGTGCATAATCTCTGGTGTCTTCTTCAGGAGGATGCCTGCCAGGACTTTGCCATATCTTGCACTGCCTGATGGGATAGCCCCCTCCCCACAGGATGGGTTAGTACTGCTCTCTGAAGGTTAGCTGGTAAGAATTTGGTTTGGTTTTCTTGTCTCCCCTCACCCTCATCCAGTGAACCATCTCATTCTCGCCGCATGAGTTGCTTCATGCCTGGAGCCCATCTACCCCTCCAGTCTGTGTGGCTGTTTTCATTTGTTGTGTGCCTCTAAACCATCCCACCAGCAGCTGAAAGTCTTGAGAAGGTCTGTGAGGCCTGGGGGTGGGGGTGGGGAACAGCTTGGGAGCAAAGTAGATGTTCATATAGCGTCTTCCATTGTCATGTCTCAGCACAAAGAAGTGATAAGACTCTTGGTAGAGCTGTAACTACGCTTTTCCAGACATTCGTTTCATGGCGTTCCTCCAAAAGTCTTCCCATACGTAGGCTGCTGGGTGACATGCTACCTACCTCACTGCATTTTGCGGGCAGGGAGCAGCTTCATAGCTTTTGGTCCACTTTTCTCCGATTGCTTGAGACAATTGAAATAGAGAACACGTAATGGAAATGACTTTCCGTGCAATACTAGTGGATACAACCAAGGAGTAAGGAACAGGACAGAAATCTATGTAATTTCTTGACTATGCAAGTTCAGTTACCTCTTGGAGGCAGATTACTGTATGATCTGAACGAGAGGTCTCTGCTACTGCATGGCTAATCTCTTCAAACTCCTTAGAGCAGACCTGGGCAAAGTGCGACCTAGGGGCCACATACAGCCCGCAAGCCACTCCTGTCCAGCCCACCGGTCATCGCTCCATTCAAGCACTTGTTCAAGCCCAAGACAGACTGGATTTCTCTCACTGAACAAGTTGAACATCAAAACCATGTATAGCTTTTTGTCTAAAGTTGATCAGTTGCTTATCTTTAACATGCCACAAAAAACCTCTTTAGTATTTGTGAAGATTAACAAGTTTAAAATAAAAACAATCATAACATCACTGTTTTATTTTATTTTTCAGTAAAGTTGGTTCAGCCCCCGAACACAGTTCTGAGTTTTCATGTGGCCCCCTATAGAAATTAATTGCTCACCCCTGCCTTAGAGTAAGCTGTGATTCTGGGATGCAGAACCACGATGAGCAAGCATGCCTGCCCGGGCTTTCTCTTAATAGAGGGACTATGCATTTCATGACCTTGGAGGGTCAAGAGAGAGTAAAAGGCATCAGCTCGAGGAGATCACCATTTTGCATTTATATGTTGGGTTTTCTGTTTTGTTTTTTTAGCTCCGAAAATCTTCTACATTATCTGCTTGTTCCTTAGCCTACGTGACAGCCCAGTAATCTCCATATTGCAGATGAAGGATTGAGCTTCAGTGTGAGTGACTTGCCTTCATTCACCCACTTTGAATGAGGAACAAGTTTGGGAACTGAGAACTCAGACTATCTCTTTACCATGCTAGCTTTCAAACTAAACCCATAGGTGCCTCTGGCCCACATTTTAGTGTAAATCTGGGATCCCATGTGGAGTCTTGGGCTCTGCTGTTTAAAGGTTGCTGTGTCCACCCCAAGTGCTCATTTTGTTGCCCATCTTATTTCCTCCAAAATGAGACTTAATCCTTGTGTACATGTATCCATTTCTGGTAAGTAAGTATCAAGAATCTTTACTGATTTGTTGAATTAATGTGTAGATCTCTAGCAAATAACTACTGTCAATATTTTTCCCATTTGGTCCTCCTCAGAACCATATATAGAACTGTTTTTAAGAAAGAACTGATTTACTGAAGTTTGTTAAATACTTTGGGAAGTATTACAAATTAAACAGATGTCGTCCACCCTCAGGTCTTGAGGTGGTCTGAAAATGTTAACATTTTGGAATAAGTGCTATCTGCTGCTCCAAGTTCCTGTCAAGAAAGACATGCTGTATATTTATTGCAAACTGCTACTGTCATCCAGGCTTTAAGAGGCGCTGAATGGAAACAAAACAAAAATAGTCCTCATTTTTTGAAGGCTTTGGGCGAGTTTATTGAAGAATTCCTAACCCTGTTGCTGTCCAGTTGTTTCAGATTTCAAATCTCATCCGCTGCAGGAGGTACACTGGCTTTTTAAAAAACTTCATTTGCCAAATGGGTTGCTGAAACTGTCATTTAGCAAACTAGTTGCAATGTGATCCCCCTCCCAATCGTCTTTTCTTTATACTTATCAATTGAAAATCTCTTGGCAATCTAGTTAGCCTTGCTGAGAAATCTGCCTAATGATCAAATTAAATCATTTCTTGCTAGAATGCAAAATTGATGATATATTGGGAAAAATATCATCAGAGTGTGACCCTCCAGTAGTCAGTAATTCTTGGCACTTCAAAACATCTGGAGGGCATCAGCTTGTTTTACATGTTTACCCCTGGTGTTGAAATACTGATCATCAGCCCTGTCTTGTCCTTCTTTTCCCATCATGGAAAGCAAAGCTGGAAAGCCTGTGTCACATCTTTCTCTTCTTGTCCCCCATCCCCTATTGCTGAGTTTTGCACCAGAGAGAAGGCTGCTGCGGCTTGCTTGACCTTGGCAAAGTCAACCAAAAGTAGGAAGTAGTAGCAGCCTTGGACTCTGCTTGCTGATAAAGCTAGTTGTTCTTTTGCAAATGTACGAGCTACAGTGAGAGTCCTCTCTTTGATGATGGAGTACTGGGCAGGGCAGACCATGGGAAGAGTTGCATGATTGGTCAAAATTTGCAGCCATTTGCCCGTGTTCACCACCAGGGAAAAGCAAGAAGGCCAAAAGGCAACTTGATTCCATAGCAGGCAACATCCACAATAAATAAATAAAGAAAGAAAAGAAAAGAAAAAAGAGATAAAAAAAGACAAAAACATGCACCTTAAAGATTAACCATCACCTTAAAGATTAACGTAAGCTTTCATGAACACATCCGCTTCGTCAGACATTAAGAGACAGAATGAAATGTAGATGGAATGCCAGTTTGACATTCTAAATTTCGTTGGTTACATAGGTTTCTTGTGGTCTGATCGCTCAGCTACTCCAAAGAGTCTGTCTTGACAGACTTAGCACAGCTTTGTATGATGAGATTTAAAGAAGGCTCCTGTCATTTAGACTGAAAAACAGCTGTATGCTTATCTGAAATGAGGGGTGTATTCTGGTTGTTCCTTGTCATGCCACTTACAGTTTTCACATCCACTGTGAACTTAGAAGTACAGTACTTATTTGTGCTTCCAATGTGGCAACAGACTTTGTAAATAAAATGGATGACCAAGAGAAGTCATGAATTAAAGGCTTTGGGAGGTTACCGATCTGCTTGTCCTGTGACTATATCTTGCTGTATAGAAATCCTCAGAAGGTATTATTTTCTTATCTATCCCCTCTCTTACCTTTGCATGCCCTTGTGACACAGCCTTCAGAAATCATATTTTTGTTTTATCCTTTCTAATCGGGATCGGTATGGATTTTGTTTCTCTGTTGGTCTAATACGGTTGCTCTGTCTCCTGACATTCCTCCTCATCCAAGCCTTCATAATGAAGAATGAGTGTTACTAAAACTGCATCCATTCCAGATTTGCCCAAAAATGCACTCAGTTCTGTCTGCTCCTTTCTCTGTTCTAGTTTGCTTGTAGGTGCTGTTGCTGTAAGCTTTCTTTCTCTGGCGTTTTCTTTTACTAATCCTCTCTTTCTCTGTCTCTCTCTCTCTCTCTTTTCTCTCCCTCTTCCTCCTGTTTCCCCACCTCCACCCCCTGCGCTGCTTGGGAACATCCAGTGTGTCCGAGGCACAAAAGAACTTTTGAGGACCCTCTGCGCCTCGCGGCAAAACTCCAGGGGAACCCAAGAAGCCCTGTCCCATATCTGAAAGCCCAGCCATTGCCACCGTCTGTGCCTCTTTACCCTCCAGGGCTATCTAGTTTTTATACAGCTGCTTCTCTTCCTGTTTCACAGCAAGGATAGGGAGAGGCTGGCTACCCTGCACAAGGAAAATGCTGTTTGGAACCCTTCAGGCCTGGAGCGGAAGGGCTCCTCCTGTCATTCATAGGGTTCGAAGCTTAAAGCCATACCAGACACCTGCTGTGAGTGCAATAATGGGGGGGTTCCTGTTGGCTCTCGTATCTGAGCGAGGGAACCGGTTCCAACATCTAAGCACATCAAGGCAATGGGAAGATTTCCTGTATCTAGCCTTATCCGCAACAAGACATCTCAAGTTTTCAGAGCTCCTAGTAGATGTCTGTATACATAATATGTATGTATATATCCTACGCAAAGACACTCTTCTTCTCCAGCCCTGCTCCATTTGTGTTGTTGAGAGTTTATGCCTTGTCTGTAGCTGCAACAGGATACTCGCCCACCCAGACATTAAGGTTGGGCTTGCACTAGTATTTCATGTACTCTCACTTGGTGCATTTCGTGCTACAGGTATGAGCCACCACCCAGATGTATGTGTGTGTGTGTCTACGTGTGGCTGTGATTCTTTGATTCCACAGGAAACAAGTATGGTAGTGAAGCTGAATTGAACTTCATGAGCGGCCCTGGAACTTCTTGGCTCTGCTCACTTTTTGACTTTATTTTTTTAATACTATGACTAACAGAATAATAGTAACAAAGATCCAATTTGAAATGTGTATAGAGTTTCTACTGAAATCTCAGAAGCCAGAAGGACAGCGGCTGTAATTTTCTCAGATGGTTATTTAGCGCTTTCATAGTTAACTTGCCCTTCCCTGTCACTGGCAAAATCAAAATTATGCAAATTTGCAAAATGTGTAGAATAGGTCAATTTGCATCATTTATACAAGCTGCAGAATCCAGCTTTCCTTGGTGCAAAAATTTCCTCTCTCCTCACCCCCCGGCTCTTTTCTATTTT